ACAAGAGCTCAGATAATTGTTCCACTGACATTTTGGCCATTACTTTTCTTGCCATTTTCTCTCTCTCCTCATTCATCTTCAATCTCTCTATATATGACCCTCCGTTCCTCACTGTTGCACCCATTTGCTTTAACCTTTTCTCTTGCTGCACACTCAATGCTGTGTTTGACTGCAGAAACAGAGGACAAACACCAAAAATTTATCATATTTCAGTGACAAGAAATAAAAAACATAGCAATAAAAACCTATTTGACTGTTAGGTACTTGATTGTAGATAATACCTTGACATAATAGCAAGGTACTGAGATCATTGAACCGGATAAAAAACTGATTTAAGGGTTAATGATCAAATTATACATATGCAAAACATTTTATCGAACCGATTCGGTTTATTGGAACAACTGGCTGGAGTAACCCTGATTTCAATACTATGATAATAGAGTTAAGCTCTCAAGAGTCATGTTAGATCACTTTTCCTGAACGTTGTATGTCAGATAATGCTGTAACTCGTAAAAATATTCCCCGAATGATAGTTTGATTTCCAATTTGAATTTGTAAATTACTACCTCAAGAAACTCAGCACCAGCTTCAAGTTCAGAATCGTTTAAGGTATGCATTCCCCGGCCAGCATCATAAAGATTTTTTGCAATTGAAAAGCTTCTCACTATGATTTTCCTTCTGTCCTCCATTTCCTTGTTAAGCTTCAGAGGCTTCTCAATGGACGTTGCAGCATTCAGCTTCTTCTGATATGCTATCACTGCCTTCACAAATTCCTGCAAAGTTAAATTTCTATTATTAGATATTCAGTGCTCTGTTTTCAGCTTCTCAACATGGAATTTTCCTAGAAAACAAACAGAAAGCAGTATGGAACCTGGTAGGCAAAAGGGCATCCTGGGTAATCAAAATCATCAGAATCTGGCTTCCTCATCCTCTCTGGATGAAACTGCAATCCCATGATAAACTTGCCTTCTTCAGGATTATAAGCATCTGGGTCATAAAAACCTTCAATCAAACCATCTGGCGCAAAGGCCATTGGAACAAATCTTTGAGCCAATCTCTGAACTCCTTGATGGTGATAACTATTAACCCTCATCTTCATTTCCCCTAGTTCTTCCAAAGACTCCTTAAACCATTGATGCAATGGTGTACTCTCCACCACCTTCACTTCATGCCTGTGACCATCATAATCATCATAGTTTATGTGCATCACTCTCTGGCTTTTAGGACACACACTTGATACCTCCTTCTCTATATCCTGATATAGAGTACCCCCACAGGCAACATTCAAGACCTGTGACCCTCTGCAGATTCCCAGATAGGGTATGTTCCTCTCAAGACATAGCTTCGCGAGGCGTAATTCAATAGAGTCCTTCTCTCTATCAATGGACGTATCACTGGCATGAAGCCTCCTGATTTCTTCTAATTCTTCTTGTGACAGACCTGAGGCTGCCTCTGCTCCGTACAATGAAGGATCTATATCTTCTCCTTCACACAGAAGAACGCCATGAATCGGCTCGAAGCTGTCTAATAGCATGTGAACCCCAGTAACACGAGGAACAATAACTGGTACTGCACCATACCCTACTATAAGATCTAGATGATATTCCCCTGTGGCCCAAAAAAAAAAAAAACCACAAAATAGGAAAATTTAATCCAACGTCTGCGACATTAATATATTCATTCATGCTTGAAAAATTTAATCGAGAAATTGCTCACCGACAAAATCGACGAACTTGTTCTTGCGAACGCTTCGTCGAGAGACGATGAGAACACGAGGTAGAATAACGGAGAGATCGGAGGGCATTGTGATTGATGAATCTCCGTGAATGAAATGAGATGAGAACGGTGATCGATAATGAGTATTCAATTGCAAGAGATCGCAAGTGAAGGAGTATATATGGAATTGAAATAGAGAGAGAGTGAGAATATTGGCACACGGATGGAAACAAGGAAACGACGTCTGATCGCCGCGTGGGGTTCCACAGATTCAAGGATTACGTTCATTCACCAACCGACGTAAATAGAAAATTAAAAATTTGTTTCTTAATATTAATCTCACCAAACGTATAAAGTATAAACGCTATCTATATCTATATTGTAATTAATTATTAATTTTTTATTACACAAAGTGTCTTCTTATTAGAATTCATCTTATTTGAGTTGCGATTAGGTAATGTGAGTATGTGAATTTCAATTCATCACATTGCCCCAAATGTTGTTCATTTCGCTTAATTAAGTTTTCATATACATCAAGGCAGGTGGTTTGTGTGTTATTAATTGTAAAAGAGATGGGGACTCTCAATATCAATTTATGAGTTCTTTAATTTTTTTTATATTATTAAAAAAACTATGATATTTACTAGATTTTTTAAATGTGATTGACTGATGGGAAGGAATATCCAACGTATGTCGCTCCAGCCATTATTTAAAATTAAAGACTTTTACTTTGTTTTTTGGCGAAAACTTTTACTTACCTAAACCCCTAAATTTTAATTTATTTTATATAAATTCGTTATCCTGTCTAATTCAAAATAAAGTTGCTGACGACACAAGTGCAACGTGAACATAAAAATATGTCTGCATGCATGTCAATTTTTTTAAAAAAAAAAAAACCATAAAAGTTTACGTGAGATAAGAACTAGAAACTTCTCATAACTAGATAAGCTTTTAAGACTATCCTAACAACGACAACATATTTTAACTAATATATTTATAAGAAAAGAGTTGTATCATTATCATTATCATTATCATTATCAATAATGTATTCTTGGATAGACTAGGTTTGTCACATTTCGTGATATGTTTAATTAGAATCCCATAAGTCATTCTATTTTAATTCTTGTTGGTGGTTACTTAAAATTTTTTAATCAATTTATTTTAGAATACCTGGTAGAGTCATACAAAAAATTAATTAAAATAATTTATTTATTTTAAAATAAATTATTTACTTTAAGTATTATATTTTAAAAATAAAATAAGATAAATTAAGTAACCGCGAAAGAAGATTAAAATAAGATGAGTTAGAATCTTTTAATTGGATAGTTCACCTGGCAAGGTTAATCCAAGAATTTTTGTCATCTTTTATTTATAGATGCATATCGATTTTATTAAAATAAATTTGGAGTATGATAGTGTGGACACGTAGAAGATTGGTCAAAATAGTGGATGGAGAAGTAACACTTATCCATTTTTGCTATGTCAAGTTTGACCTAGAAAGAAAAAGAAAAAGAAATAGAATAAAGACTTTTTTTTAGTGTGTTTATAATTTAATCTTATTGTATGTTTTGTAAATAATATAATGTATGTGTCTTCTCTCCTAACTAAACAACGAAAATGTAGATTAGCCTATCTCCGTGTCACTGCCTACGCAATAACCTCATCCATTTTCTACAACCATACATGAACAACAGCAATACCAGTTTGGTCGTATTATTATTATTATTATTATATTTTTTTCGTTTAAAAATATAAATTTTTTTTGAAAGGATTGAATATTTAAAAATATAAAATATTTTTAATCTTTTAAAGTATAATCATTACTTCTTTTCTAAAAGTGATTTTATTGAATAAATCATTTTATATTTATTTTAAGATGAAATATTTTATTAAATATGGATAAATATTGAAAGATAAAATTAATTTGAAAACAAGTAACTACTTTATTTAGGAATGAGATTCGATTAAAACTATCTTACATTTTTTATCAATTAAAGTATATAATCATACCAAAATAATATGTAAATATATATATTCACATGTGTATGTGATTATAAAAAATTATGTCGATGTGTGATTATTTACGTGTTTAGAATTTGCAAAATAGTTAACTAATACCATCATCATCATTATCAATGTATTAATAAAAGTTATAAGAAAACATAAATATGGCTAGCTAATTTCAAATTTGATATAAAGGCATGAATCCTAATTACATTATTTTATTACATGATGAGAAATTGCGAGTTTGTATATACGTGGATACTTATCTTCCTTTGACCTAAGGAAACCTATACACCAAAATTGGAGTGGACTAAACAATCCGACTTGTTGGACGGTTAGCCAGAGGGCATAACGGCTTAGTTTTCTTTTAAACAAAACCGTTCAGGGGTTGATCCAAATTAAACTAGGAACCACTATTAGATTGAGATTCAAATTAAGTAGGACTGGTTTGATTCATTTTTTTAAAAAAATGAATTCAAATTCCAAAATTGAATCAAACATTATAAATCCTCAAATAGTATATTTTTTAATAATTCACATGGTAGGTATTAATTCTTTTCTTCACAGTTTTTAACAATTATTTCATATTTATTTTATTATATATGCATATAAAATTATTTTTATTTAATTCATATATTATTGATTTGACTGCTTGTTTAATATGTTAAACATAAAAACCGTGAACCATTGACCTTTTTAATTCTTAATCTAATTTGACTTTTAAAACATGAAAATAAAGGGTATGTCTCTGGAGTTTTATAAATATTTCGAAAGTTTTTATGCAATAAAAAAAAATGCAACTGAAGAATTAATTACATTCGCAATTCAAAAGTAACGTGTCTGAGCCCGGGTTCGAACCGGGGACCTCTAGTGTGTGAGACTAGCGTGATAACCAACTACACCACCCAGACCAGTCGGCAGCTTTATACTTATCAATTTTATATATATTGAAATTAATTATTAACTATTCAGTTTTCCCCCTCTTTTCGTGAATACAATTTCGGTACTCTTAAATACTGTACAGAGAAAAAGCTTATAATAAGAAGGAACGATCAGAACTCTTGGCAAATTATTAATAGCCTACAGATACGATTCTCCCACGAGAGCAAGAGAAGAATAAATTTATTTGTAAAAGTTTAAGAAAGGAGTCGTATTCCCTTTAACTTATTAAATATTGTGATTTATTTAAAATTTTTATATTTACTTACACATATTCAAATATGACTTATTAATACATAAAAAAATTGTCAACACTTAAAACTCAACTTGCTCTTCTGCCATGCATTCAAAATGTTTCGTTTATTTCTTAATCATAATATAGATAACAGAACTGTATGCATGGAGCACTGATCCACACATGTCACACATAACTAATTAATGCATTAATAAACTAATAAATTGCAGAATGTAAATATAATAGTGGCTAGTATATACTTGCAATAATACACGTATTAAAAAAAATCTCACACACACACACACACACATATATATATATATATTAATTTTGGTAATTAATTAACAAGTTGGATAGGGAACTCCACAAGAAGTAGCAACCCTTCTGGCACCAGGACTGTTGACATATTGCCTCAGACTTGGGTTTTGCAGATACTCACACAGGCAAGGCCTCTGCTCCCTCACCTAATAACCAAATTCAACAAATTTTAAACTAAACTTTCGCATCATTCATAAATTTTTTCATATAAAGCAAAAACACTTGCATGCACCAATATCGACACAAATTAAACTTGTAGATCCTTCATAAATTTATCCATACATGTGTGTACGAGAGTAAACAAATTTGAATGGGATGAATCTACTCACTTAATCAATGTCTCATATGGCAAAATAATAACATTTCAATTTAATCAAATAGTTGTTAGAAAGTTTGTCATATGATAATTAAAAAATACAAAATCTCAAATTTTTAGAACGGATCGCTTATGTATGGTGTGTTCTTGAAGTTTTTAAGGGAAACATATCTTAATAATTGATAAATTCAAATGATTGTAATTGGAATACTCATTGAATACATAAATTTAAACCATTGACCTAATCCAAATTTTAAAAAAAAAAACACTTGCATCTTGCATGCAGTAAGATCAATGTTAGGGGGAGGCAAAAGACTGGCATGTTGGGAAAAATTAAGTCTCTTTAATTTATAAACATCACTCATTGTGAGAGGTTTCTCAATGTGAGACCCATAAACTTTTAATGAATAGCCTACGCCTTATCCTGATATTGATCTCCCAATAAAAGCTTTAATATTGCCAACACAAGTCTAAAAAACAGGGTCAATTTTAAAAGACTGGTCTGTTAAGTAAAATAGCCCTTAAATTTATAAACCTTACCTTTAACGACAACCAAGTAGCCAAAAAATGGAGGAAAAAGAAAAGAAAAGAAAAGATGCAGCAGTTGGTCTGAGTGCCACTCACAGCAGCAATAGGACTTACCTTCTGGCAGCAGGTGGTTGAAGGAGGGGACGATGAAGTGATGGAGCCAAGGCAAGGGCTCAGCTCAAGGGGGCTGCAAGTGACGCCCTGACCCATGTGAGGGCGTGGAGCCTCAACAAGAAGCAGCGTCACAATGGCTAACACAGTCACAGTTGCAGAAAGCTTGCTGCGTTTCATCGTCATCATCATCATTGTTTGGTTTGATTTGAGGAGAGGGATCGAACTGAGAAGTAATTTATAGAAGCGGTCTGGTTGAGTTTGGTATGGGTGTAAGTGAAGCTTGAGGGCGAAATGAGAGTTAATGGAGGAGTCAGGTCCCCCACTTGGAGAAGGTGCAGAGATGGGTTTGATTTCAGTGTCGTAATTACTTAACACTGATACCTTTGTCACCCTCTTCAGTGTCATCGCAACTGTGACATCGATGAAATCCACCTTGCAAACTACTACTCCCAATGTTACTAATTAATTCAATTATAATTACATCATCGGAATGAAGAATAAATTGTTAATAAAGTTTTAAAAAAATTCATTTTAAGACTTAATAAATTGACTGTCATTCCATGATTTTAATAAAGCAATTAAAGGCATCTCGTAACAAGAACCAAAAAGAGTATTTTATTATTGACACTAAAATGACTCGATATTTTATGTTCATGTTTTCTATGGAGACAATTGTCCAATTTCATCTGCATCGTCATACAAGTTCATTGAATATAAATGTATTTTGAGAAACATTGCTAAACCCAACCATCAGTATTATTTTGTCATTTGCTTTATTGATCCAAGATTTAACTATACAAAATTCCCTTAGTCATGAACATTTATATCATAAATTTTAAAAATCAATAAAAGTTAATTCAATTTATAAAAATTTGACTCATAATTCATAATGTTGCGAGAACAGATCCCATTGCCAATGTAAAACCATTATTGATGGGTGCTCTATAAATGTCCATTAAATTTGAAGGGATGTCTTTATTCCCAAGACCCAACTTACTTAAATTTTATTTGTATAAAAAAATCATAAATTTTAATTTATGAATAAATGACCCCCCTAGCCATACATAGTATGTATGAGTGAGAACATATATCAAGATATTAAGATCAAAATAGAAGGGTTACATCAAAAAGTTACATCCATACATAAATATGAATGAGAACATATGTTAAGATCAAAGTCATAAAAGAGTTACATGAAAACTACAACACGAAAGAATTATAACTCCACTCACACACACAATTATTACATGATATCCATCACAAAAACAAAATTTGAATACTTTTTTCTTTCTTCATTTCTTTCAATGTCTTTCTATTTTACCTACCCTATAAGAATAATAACTACATAACGAATAACCAATTAGTTAAAAAAAATGTTTCTCAGTTTCCAGGAAAGTTTTGACAAAGGCAAACGTCTACCTTCATCTTGACCAAAAAGAATGGGCAGAAAATTATGATGCAGAGATGAATCCTATTGAGTCTGAGAGTCTTCCTGGGTTTTGGCTTTGCTGCGAAGCATATCCCCAAAGTTTCCCAGCATGATCCGCCTGAATCTAGTGTCCTCTGCCGCAGCTACTGCCGCCGCCGTTGTTGGAGGCAGGACTGCTGCAAGAGCTTCCGTTGCTGTTTCTGTAGTCTCTTTCTTGCCAAGTAATCCACCCTCACCAAAGAAACTGCTCACTGATGAAAGTCCTGATGAAAGTCCAATATGAGCACCCATCACTTTACTTATAGTATCAAAAGCTCCACCTGACCTTTCCTTCAAAATAATTTCAAGGGCTTCTTTATGTGCTGGATCCAATGCATCCAAGTCCTTTAACAGGTTCTGTATGGCCGGAAGGAGGAAGTCCCGGACGCTAGCTGCTGGCAGATCTGTAGGTGATAGTGAGGAATTAGAAATATGTTGTGGAAGTAAGATATTTGTCATTATTTTAAGGAATGGCTACATTTTGAAGGATTAACAACAAATTCGATGAACAGTCAATTAGATGATTGATTGACAAGCATGTTTTTTTCAACCTTTTTTTTTTTCTTGGTGGTGTTTGGCTCATGAATTTTAAGGGTTATGGAGAGGATTCCTAATCCTTCCTATCCGTGTCTCTATTCTCTGCTGATAAAATTCTCCTCTTTAAAAAAATAAAACAAAATGAGTGCATGAGGATCACTGGGGTGAAGAATCTGTTAACAGTATGCCTGATGAACCAATAACATTTCCTGTTTAGGCATGTATCTGAGATGAATGAGGATCGCCTGACAGATTTTCAGCCACTTTAAATTCTATCGATAAGGCAACATTTATGTGCAGTTGACTATACAATCAACAAAAGTTTGACTTGAACAACAACCACAAGAAGAAGTCCAATCACACTAGGTAGACAGGCTAAATGGACTGCATGATACAGTTGTGTTCTATCAATAACTAAATCTTTTAGAGTTTGAACACTAGAAAAAAATAATTGCCATTAGAAGAGAGATGAAAGTAACTCCGCCTATGTTTGAGCCGGTCTCAAGCCCGGGTAAAGGAGGAGGGTTGTGTTAGGCCATCAACAGCCAATGTAAAACTTTGTTGAATCTATCATGAACATGGACAATAGACGTTATAATGTTAATGCTAGATCGTTGCCCGTAGGTAACGCGCTGCATGGCTCGAGTACAGTGATAAGTGAGTTAGAGCCGCTGCATCGGCGCCCGGATGTAGTGTTAAATGAGCAAGGGCTACCGCATCATTCTGGACGCACGCAGTTAAAGAAATTAGTCCATGAGAGCAAAATTAGATTTGATATTTGGAATGTTGGGACATTAAATTGTAAATCTGTAGAGGTTGTATGGGTTATGATTCAAAGGAAAATCAATATCCTTTGCTTGCAAGAAATAAAATGGCGTGGAGAAGAAGTTAAGGATATTCAAGGTTTCAAACTTTGGTATATAGGAAAAGTAAGTGCACGCAATGGAGTAGGCATCATTATAGATAAGGAGTGGAAGAAGAACGTTGTAGAAGTTAGCAGAATTGGAGACAGAATTATTTCCTTAAAAATGATAATTGGACGTGAGACTGTTAATATTGTTAGCACTTATACGCCGCAAGTCGGGACAAAAACCAGTCTTAAGAAATTATTTTGGGAGGATCTGGAGGGGTTGATTCGACACATACCACAGAGTGAAAAGATTTTTATTGGAGGAGACTTTAATGGGCATGTCGGGAGGGAAGCTGGTCAGTATGCAAGGGTGCATGGTGGTTTTCGTTTTGGAGAACTAAACAATGAAGGACAAACTCTTCTTGATTTCTCATTGGCGTATAATTTTAAGATTGCCACCACTTGTTTTAAGAAGAGAGATGAGCATCTCATCACTTACAAAAGTGGAGCCTCAAGGTCACAGATTGATTTTCTTTTGGTTAGGAACACAGATAGAAGACTTTGTAAAAATTGCAAGGTCATCCCCGGAGATGCTGTAAACGACACAACATAAGATCCTAGTCCTTGATGTGTGTATTATGAGTAAAATCCAAAAACGTCGACAAGTAGTAGCACCAAGGATTAGGTGGTGGCAATTAAAAAGTGAGAAGCAAGATATTTTCAAGCGAAATCTTTTGAATAAAGGAATTTGGAAACCTCAGGAAAGTGTTAACATCATGTGGGAGGATATGGCTACAAAGATACTGGAGGTTGCAAAAGTAGTTTTAGGAGAATCAAAAGGTTCTGATTCAAGAGATAAGGAGTCTTGGTGGTGGAATAATAGTTTACAGGACAAAATTAAGTATAAAAAGAACTGTTTTAAAGCCATACATTTGTGTAACAATGAGAAAAATTGGGAGAAGCACTGTATGGCTAAGAAGGAAACTAAAAGAGCTGTGGGTGAAGCTCGTTCTAAAGCTTTTGAAGAATTTTATAAGAGCCTTGAGACAAAGGAAGAAGAGCGAAATATTTATAAGATTGCCAAAGTAGGGAAAAAAAATAAAGAGATCTAGAACAGGTAAGGTGTATTAAGGATGAAGAAGGAAAAACTTTAGTTACAGATGATGAAATTAAAAATAGATGGGAGACTTACTTTTCTAAACTTTTCAATGATGGAGAGGGTTCATCTAGTAACTTGGAGGATTTAGTAACTGGTGAAGGAGAACAAAATTTGTCATTTTATCGAACACTACGTGATAAGGAGGTAAAGGAAGCTCTTAAGAAAATGGCAAATGATAAAGCCAACGGACCTAATTGTATATCTATCGAAGCGTGAAAATGTTTAGGTGAAGAAGGGGTGAGATGGTTAACTAAGTTATTTAAAGTGATTTTACGGTCCAAGAAAATGCCTGATGAGTGAAGGAGAAGTACATTAATTCCTATTTATAAAAATAAAGGAGATATTCAGAATTGTACTAACTATAGAGGGATTGAACTCATGAGCCACACAATGAAATTGTGGGAGAAAGTAATTGAGCACAGGTTGAGATTGGAGACAAGTATTTCTGAGAATCAGTTTAGTTTTATACCAGGTAGATCAACTACAGAGGCGATTTATCTACTAAGGGGATTAATGAAAAAGTATCGTTATAAAGATAAAGATCTACACATGATTTTTATTGATTTGGAAAAAGCTTATGACCGTATACCAAGAGAAGTGCTTTGGAAAGCGTTAGAAAAAAGGAAGTACGGATTGCTTATATTAACGCCATACAAGATATGTATGAGGGGGTAAAAACTAATATAAGAATGCCTAGTGGTTAAACAAAGGATTTTTCTATAAAGATTGGACTACATCAGGGATCATCTCTGAGTCCTTATTTGTTCAACTTGATCTTAAATGTTTTAACGAAACATATTCAAGGGGAAATTCCGAAATGTATGCTCTTCGTGGATGATATAGTTCTTATAGTAGAGACAAGAGAAGAGGTTAATTGCAAACTTGAGTTATGGAGGAGGACATTGGAGTCGAAAGGTTTTCGTCTGAGTAGAAGTAAGACGGAATATTTATATTGTAAATTTGGTAAAGGACTATTCGATAATAATTTGGAAGTGAAATTGGGAGATCAAATTATACCTCAAGTGGAAAAGTTTAGATATTTGGAAGCCATTATTCAAAATGATGGCGAAATTAGTGGAGATATTTCACATAAAATTCAAGTTGGGTGATTTAATTGGAGAAAAACTAAAGGAGTTATTTGCCACCGTAAGGTGCCTAATAAACTTAAAGGAAAGTTTTATCGCACTGCTATCAGACCGGCAATATTATATAGTAATGAATGTTGGGCTCTAACGGGACAGCAAGAATATAAAGTTGGAGTAGCAGAGACGAGAATGTTACAATGGATGTGCGGACATACACGTAAAGATAAAATTCGAAATGAGCACGTACGCGAAAAAGTGAAGGTAGCACCTATTGAGGAAAAAATGGTAGAAAATTGGTTGAGATGGTTTGGGCATGTATAAAGAAGACCAAGGGAAACACCAGTGAGAAAAGTGGAATATATAACTTTGAGTCCGATTAAGAGAGGTAAAGGAAGGCCTAAGAGAATACTCTTTGAAGTTATTGAACGCGATCTCTTAATTAATAATATTCCTAAAAGTTTGATAAATGATAAAGCACAATGGCATCTTGCAATCCATATAACCGACCCCACCTAGTGAGATAAAGGCTTGTTGTTGTTGTTGTAGTAGAAGAGAGATGAAAGTACAAGCGACAATTTTTTAAAGAACAAACCTGAAGCGTCCAGAGCACGGATTGCCTCACAGAATGCATTGGTTTTCTCCCGTCGACGCATCAAATCAGTTGTAGAAGTTGGCATGGATGTCAGCTGGAAAATCTTGGATAAAAGATGTAGATAATGTTAAAGAAACAAATGGATAATCCAAGAAACTCTGAAAGCCTGCTGAAAATGAACCAGCTTTAAGAGAATGAGACATCAACTTTGGGAAATTTAAAACTGTTCTGAAATAATATTTCCCCTAAAAGTAAGTTCAAGGATATAATCTCTTAGTTTTTCCGTCGTATGGGGTACTGCAACCACCAAGGCACGGATAACAGCTACAGTAGCTTCATGGGATCCATCTTCGAGAAAAGCATCCATTTGAATGCGAATCTTATCAACAATCTAAAACATGCCAAATATGATTAGGAAGTTTGAAGTTAATGGTGCATTGCCTTTAATAATGTAACTTTACAAGCAACAGAGAGAAATACTAGTACAAGGTACCGTCTCATTTTTGAAGTGTTGGGCCACAGCACCAAAGGCATCTATACTGGCATACTTCACATTCAGATTCTGATCGGATCCAAGAGTGACTAAGGCAGGCAAAACTTGCGTTGAAGCAACCTTTGCGTCAATATATGGCACCTATAAATGAAGACAGGCAGAAAGATATATAAGCTTTGACATCTACATCAGATGAAACAGGAAACAAAGTAAACAGTAAGCTTACAATAACTTTCAGCAGCTTGGCAGCACTTATTTTCATGTTAATGTTAGAGATAACAACCATTTCCCATAGTATATTAATAATCATTCCATGGTTTTCTTCATATATGCTGCATTGCATAAAAAGCTCGTGATTAAAACATTGAAGACAGACTATCATTTTAACATCTGGTTAAATTGGTGATAAGCATACCAAAGGAAGCGAACAGCTTCAATAATCTCAGGAATGTGCTTGGTTGACCGGTGGTCCTTGGAAGTGTCTTCTACCAGCAACTTCCTCCTCAAGTACTCTAATAATTGTTCACGTTTGGCCGGAGCACCCAAAACACCAGCCAACAAAAGTGGAAGGACACACATGGTAGACAGCCTCTCAGCAATAGCAGATCTTGGTCTTAAACCTGCAAGCAACAGTTAAAAAATATAAAGCAACAATGTCATAATATCACTATTCATTTGATAATCTGGCAAAATTATTGTGAGATGGCCAATTAGACAGACTCTTTCTTAGTTGGCACCTCAAAAGTCCGCTAAATATTGTGCTCTTCTATATTTTTTTTTTCCAAGATCCCCATTCAATAATCACTTTTTCTAACAAAATCTTCACAGTTCAGATTTGAGCAGTTATTCGTTTGCAATTGAATTGTCAGTAAAATTAGAAATATAAAAGTGATAACTGTCAAAAAAATCATTTTTAAGTGTGCTTTTAAGTCTGGTTATTCTCTTATGAAGCATGGTTACAAAGAGAACAAAATTGGAAAATAAAAATACAGAGATTACAAGATTTCTGTGGGAATTCAGTGAGAGGAAAGCTCAATGCTTGACAAACATCCCTTTAGTTTTCTCCATGAGGAATACCTTTAATTCTTGAATGGATGGCACTAGGAAAAAATGTCAAATCTGCCTCATCCCCAACTGCTATTAAGAATACAGGCAGCATTATACAAGTCAGGTAGGAATCCCCAAACTTTTCAGAAACAGCTAACAGAAACTGCATTCACACAAGATTTATTAATTACAAATTCAAATACAGGAGCTCCAGGTCAGACAAAAGCCCATCAGAAGAAGTGAAAAGGTACACAGAGTAACCTTAGAAATTCGGCTCCGTAAATTGTCTTCTTTATGTGATAACATGCAAGCCAACTGAATCAAATTAGGAAAGCACTCAAAATGCATCCATTCAAATGCAGCCCATTCAACACATCCACTGGCAAAAATGGAAACCACTGTAGATAAGTAGCAGCTTTGATAGTGTACTGCAGTATGTGCGTTGAGAAGACTTTGGTGGTATGGAATGCCTAAGTCGCATATTGAGTAACATGGAATGCTAAATGGAGTGTTTTAAACATATTGGTTCTCCTACCTTAATAATTAGTTTTTGAGGAAGGGTTTCCCATCCTACTTGAGAGCCTACCAATTGGTATCAGAATTAGATGTCAACCTTTTTGGATAGAGGTGCCAATCAAGGGTTCTAATTGATAAAAATGTCTAGTGAAGTGTTACCAAGAACAGCCATTGGGATGTCAACTCCAAAAATTGACATCCCAAATGAGCCAATTTTGGTGACTTAGGTAGAACGGATGCCTAAATCTCACTTTTAGTTGTATGAAATGCTCAATAGGATATTTAAGTGAGTTGATTCTCCCATCTCAATAATTAGTTTTTGGAAGGATTCCTCACATGGTTGTTTATCTATTTTTTGACCAACAAATGTTTGTTTATCCATAAATGTGTACATTCTTCAAAAGGGGCTAAAACATAGAATTAGATGGACAGAAGACCTCACTGTCACCCCTCTCTTGCATTGCTTGTTATATAAAAAGGGACAACAAGAGTAGAAGGGATTGGGAGGGGACAAGAGAAACGATTGTTTTGGTCTGCTTCCACTTTTGCCCCTTTTCCCAAATAGGCCCTATAGAGTAAAAGGGAAGTAACATTTTGACACCAAAAGTCAGTGACAGGAAGGCTTACAAAAGTTAAAATGAAATATTTCAATAGCGAGACTTTTTGCAAAGCTTACTTAGCATATAATTCAAGCATCGAGGTAGATAACACAGCTTGTGTAGTTTCAGCAGTGGTTGAAAAGGGGCATGTCTCTATTGCTTTCTGGTGCACAGAAGGAAGTAATGCCATTAACAGTCTCAAAAGAACATCTATATTCCAGCGCTCTCTTTCACCCAAAACACGGAGATTTGACTCTACAGACCCTTCAACACCAGAAAGTGGTGGACACCGCTGTAATGTTTGACGAACCAAATTCCATTGAGTAAAACATTTGCAAATGAGGATGAAGTTCTCAGTCTTGAAAAGCAACGGTGCAAAAGAACATGTATACCTGAGCAGAGCTTAACATATGAGACAGTAAAACCCTTAAAATATGGTCTAATTTGTCTCCCCACTTTAAAATTGCAGGAACCAATTCATTGAGAGTAATTTCCACCACCACTCCCGAGGGGTCACAGATCAATTGGAACATCAAATCCTCCACCTGTCAAAACATAAAACAAAAAAATTGAAATAACTTCTCATCTTTGCTCCTTTTTCCTTAGAAGTCATTATGTAAGGGTAAAAGGCTCCATTCCCTAGACCATGTCTCATCAACCTGTTCTAGAGCTTACATTGTAGCAAATTCTCTCAAGTCAGAAATCTTCTCCATGATTGCCTCAGAAGCATATATAGTGAGGCTGACCTTGAAATATTTATCCATGTTTGGAAAAAGTGGGAGCAGCAAAGCCAAATTATGAGCTGCAGCCTCTCGAACAACAGTGGCAGCATCTTCTACTAGTTGCTGCACAATAGACAAAATCAGAGAATCGCGAATCTCGGGTCGAACAAACTCTGCAAGCTCTCCACATGACTGAGCAACAAGCAGCCTACGCTCCTCATACATGTGATTTATCTAAAATCCAAAACACCGAAAATCTATAAATCTGGTTCTACAGGCAAAGTGGCAAAATGTAGAATTGAAGATTCACACAGAAATTTACTTGTTCCCAACATTGAGGAAGTAATTCTGTCTCTGTTCTCATCTCTCCAACATTCTTTGCAAGGCTTACACATGCCTGAAATGATGACAAGGCAACACATGTTGCTTTGTTAAACCGTAATCATTGAAGACAATGAGGGAAATACGATAAACTTCATCCCAAAAAAACCAAAATAGTAACTTACATCCATTATTATTTTCCTTTGTTGTTCATCAGGACGTTTGATCAAATTGAACAATGTGTGGGTCAAAGAATCTCGAGTGCCACTATCAGGGTGGCGCTCTATTGCACACATTATTAGAGGAAGGAGCTCCTGCAAGCAAGCAATTTACACGTGAAATGCAGAAGGTTGTACAAGCATAAATGAAGTAAGTCATAATTAGCAAACCAACCTCACGGTGGTTGATCAACACATAAGGAACAATTTTAGGCAAAGCATCCGCAAGTATTTGAATGGTTCCTAATCCCTGTCAAAGTACAAACATATAAGTTGAAATGATAATAATATTATATTCAGACAGGGAACATATCTTTTGCTAAAGTCTTGTCATTCTGAATTTCCTTATTTGGTTTTATTATTTATCATTTTTGAAGGTTGATTATTTCTCTTCATATTTTAAATAAGCACTACATCGCTGACAATGAAGACCAGCCATCACAACACTTGCACATCATTTTTAAGTCAATAACAAGCCCAAAATAAAACCAGCCTAGCAATTCATTTTACCAAATTCAATGAAAAGGAAAACATATATAATAAAAAGTTAAATTTTTATTGAAAAAAATATAATAGAAAGGTAACAACACTAGAAAATTTTCCATAAAAATAGCCAAAGGGACTTGCCGTCTTTTCGGACACTGCTTCATCATTCACACCATCTGATTTAAGAAACAACCAGCTATTCTCTGTTTGCAGCCCGCCAATGTGTTCCAAGACAGTTTCCCCATTCCCTAAAGCACTGTTTACAGTTGAAGGATTCAGTGAGTCATGCATCGCATCTTCACGTTTATCTATACACTCACTCTGACTGTGGACATCAAATGATTGAGTGCCTTCATTGTGTACAGCTCCCGAGGCCACTTCAACAGGACAAGAGACTGAACTTTTGTCCTCATGTATCTCAATAATTTTGTCTTCTGTCTGAATAATTTCATTTTCAGAACTAACCAAATTTGCAGATGCAGGAGCTGTCACTTTCTTTGCTTTTAAATATTCAACTTCCAACTGCAATTTCTTGATTTCTTCCTTGTACTTTTCTAAAGTCATAGGTTGGACATCATGAATGTCACTGACAGCCGAATTATTTCCAGATCGAGACCCTTCAATTTGCATTTTCAGTGAAGTGATCTCAGCTCTGCAACCAGCAAGTTCCTGTCTTTGGTGCTCAAGGGACTGCTTCAAAGCTTGAACCTGAACGTTATAATAATTAGTACATCATTAAATATATTAATTAATTGACAGAGTCTTTCAGAATTACGAAAGAACTACCAGGTTCTCCTTGTCTTTAAGATCTTTCTGCAAACCTTCTAAGGATTTAGTTAAGGCATTTATTTGGCCGTCCATCAATTCTTTGTTCTTCAAAAAGTTCTCCCTTTCTTCAGTTAACCTCTTATTTGCTTGCAGCAATGTCTCATTTCCTCGAAGTAGAGCAATTTTTTCCTGGACCAACATTCATGTGTGATACAGCACAAGAGTCAGTTGATGTTGACACAAATTTCTAAAAAGCAATCAATGCATCCTCAATAAAACGAAGAATTTTCATGTATTAAGAAGCATAAATCCTTAACCAAAAATTTTACTATTATCATAACTAGTTTCCATTAAAACACTTTTCAATATATATATATTGCAGAAGCAGAGAAAATAAAAAATAGGGAAAACATAAATTTATGTCCCTGTACTTTAATCGCGTTTTGCTATTAATCCATACACTTTTTTTTCGATGTTTTTGGTTCCAGTACATTTATTTTTCATTGTTTTAAATCCCTTCATGAACAAAGTATAGGGACCTTAGAAGGACCTAAAACAATAAAAAATAAAAGTACATAGACCAAAAACACCCAAAAAAAGTACAAGGACTAATAGCAAAACGCGAGCAAAGTACAAGGACCTAAAATTTTATTTTCCCTAAAAAATAAGAGGATAAAGAATATTAAACAAAAAAAAAACTATTAGAGGAGAATCTGATCTGCTTACTGGCCCAAACATTCATTGAGCTCAAAAGACTTGCTCCAGGGAAAGTAACATGCAGAAGAAGGAATGGACAACAGGGCAATGAAGTCTGACACTTCAGAGGTCATGGGAGAGTAGTGAAGGAGGGAAGGAGTGTTGGGAAGGGGTTATGAAGAACAAAGATCCAAAGAGTGAGGGTGCAGAGATGAGAAAAGATAGAAGGATTTTCTTTGGAGGAGACTCTAACCTGTCAAAAGCTAGGGAGTATCGGTATTTAACATCCTGCTATTTATGTGCTCGGGATTGTTGGTTGCTGTTCCTTTTTACATTTGTGTTTGATCATATTATCATTTCCCCTTGCTAATGTTGATTCTCAATGTTACAATAGTTTTATGACTCTGGGATGTTATATAGAAATAATTATAAAGATGAAGCGTTCGATGCAATTTCTAGAGTAGAAGCTCTCTTATTTTCAGTGTGCTCTATCAGAATCTTGTGTGAAATAAAAATCACATTGACTACGGCCTCCAATTTGCTGAAGATTTATAATCAGTGGGCCCTTTTATGGAGGAAAGAAGCAGATGTCGATAAACATGTAGATTATTCAAGACTAAGAATCAATTAAGCTGTGTGCAAGTACCAGGGATCTATGGAATAAATCTTTGCATCCCATCTTCCTCACCGAGTATTTTTCTACCTTTTAAAATGAAAAAACAAAAACATTTAAATGGACTTTGCCTTTTCACAGTTGACCAAAACACTTTTTTAAACACACAAAGTTTTCAAAATTTTTAAAATGAACTATTTTGAGAAAAATGTCAATTATGCCAAACAACATAAAATATTTAAAAAAAAAAATCTGACGCACTAAAACGTTTATCTTTTTTAGTTTTCAAATTTTTAAATTGAGTACTGTGTTGTTTAGCATTTTTTATTCTCATACATATTTTGATACTTTTTTTTTTGTTTTGGCAAGTAGATTTTGACATTAACTAACTCATCATACGTATCTAAAGTATACAACAAAAACAATAATAAGCCCTATTCTACTAAGTGAGATCCGCTACATGAATCACATAATACTGTTGTGTTCTATCAACAACCAACTCTCAAAATATGCATGTATTTATATCTTTAAACAAATAAATTAATACACCCTGTTAAAACTGTGATTTTTTTTTTTATAAAAAGAAATGGCACCGCCCAACATCATATGGTTTGAGAAACAAGCAAGCAGCCATAAAAGGGTAAAAGCAACCAGCCAAGTAAAACATATATATCATTTCAAATGGTTACCAAAAGTCCAAAACTATGATTGTTTATGAGCATTTACTGAGGCTGACGGCAGTGAGAAACTTGCCAATACCACCAGTTAAGTAATTACCTGAGCAGCCTCTGAAGTTGATGAAAGATACTCATAGTAATAATGACGCAAGGCATCTGGTACACATGCAGGTGTATTCTGCCAATTGTCCAAGTTCTGGTCTGTAACCTACAGGAACAGATTAATGGCTGTCTAACATTAAGAGCCAAAAAAGACAATGCACAGCAGTGATTTGTAGTAGAAAAATATATCCGCCGGATAGTCTCATGAGATGATTCATTGTATGTTTGCAAACACAAAAAACTGGTCTAATAATTCACGAACTCAGACATCATGTCAAGCATTTCAGAAATCTAGAACAAACAATTATTCTCCAATAGAAGACACTAAAACGAAAGCAAACTCCATACGAGGCATAAAGGATAGTCAATAATGCAAATGCCAAAGGTAGGCACTACGTAAAAGTCTTCCCCACAAAAAATTGGAGTGTGGAGATAGGATTGATTGCATCATACGACAAAGAGAGCAATTTGTTGTAATTCATAAATCTGATCATTGTATATAAAAGGAAGGCTTACAAAGTTTAACTAATCCCACTAGGGATGACACACCCAACATTATCAAAACTTGAAGGGAAACTCAGATTTAAAAAAAAAAAAAAAAAGACAGTTGATGCCTATATAGCATAAAAACTAATCCATAAATACAACTAAGCAAGAAAAATGGTGGAGTTCCCCAAAGATCCAAAGGTTAAATAAATTGAAGGAACAACTTTTTAATTCTAATAACTCCAGTTCAGATAAATGGTTACCTAAGAGGAACTTGGAGATATTATGACCATCAACATAATCATAAACAAACCAGAATATTATGGCAACTTGAAATCTAAAATTTGGCTTTCTTGATGTTACCGTGCTTTTCATTAATTATACGACAAGTAATATAACTCTATCAAGAAAAGAGACGTCTCGGTCAAATAAATGTAAATAATTCACCAAAAAAATGATAAATAATGATAACATAAGGAGTACAGAAGAGGAGTCATGTCATAAAAAAGTGAAAATGCTAATAAACAAGCAATCACCTCTTCATAGAATGTCATTGCAGTAAGACGGTACCCTGCTAGAAGCAAATATTCCTTCACAGCACAGTTTAGATCCCGGCGTTCCTGATCCTTCAGTGGGCCCAAATCAGTGACGGAAGAATTCCTTTTCTGTTGTTGAATTTTTGGTCCATCATACATGGAAGCATCTTTACTAGACAAAGCAGCTGTATCAAAAACAAAAGCATGTAAGATTAAGAATATGACATGAAGGTAAAAAAGATCAAAAAGTCACACTAATTTGAATTACTAGCCCAATTTTGGAAGGATGTATGGGCCAGGTGGCATCCTTCTATATGCAATTTATCACCACCTTTCTTGTCTATAATTTCTGCATCAATTCACCTATCACAGCTTCTGTTCATTCCAGCATTCTTAAATCTCATACTTTTTTTCCTAACACCTTATTGCTACAGAGGCTTTAAAATTGACATATCTTCTTTTATTGAATTCTATTCCCTACACTTCAGCAGCAGAGATTAGGAATTTGACCGCAGAGTTTAGACTCCTCTAAAAGGTATCCTCTAAACCCTGTTTCCAGATTCTAAATCATTCTCCAAAGCCAACACAGGAACAACTTGCTTCTAGCTAACACCTTTTGAATTCCAAGACCTCTTCCAAGACTTAATTTTTATATAGCACTTAATAAGATTAGTAACAGATTATTTGTGCCAACCATGCAGATGAAGGTTTATTAAAAACGAGTTAAAGTACTCATAATTTTTAAGTTATGGGCTTCTCTAATTCCAAGATAAGTCATTTAAGCATACACTATACAGAGTCCAGCTGCTAGATAATTGTCGTATAGAGGGTAGACACTTCAAGCTTTTGACAAAGTTGGACTTTCCAGGGATGTTGAAATCTTTCTCATATTTTGTTTTAAATATTACAGGAGTAAAGAAGGCCAGCCTCTTTGGCAAAGTACAATTTGCTCTGCTGTCTATGCCAATTATGTCTGGAGGATTTTGGCTTGGTGACTCCAATTGCCATACCTTAAAAAATGAATAAATAAGTAAAAATAGGATGTGCCTGACTATGAATCTGCACGTGTTATAAGTTATGAAACTGCCTCATATTGTAACCCAAAAAAATACTTAGTAAATAGCCATTCAACTTAATAGCAGTTACATTTTTTTCCCCTTAACTTGCAATAGCAGTTATGTGAAGATTGAAAATTACATGGAGCTTTTGAAAAAGATCTATGTATACATATTAATAAAATTTAATTAATAATACTTTAAATGTAGAAAAGTACTGAATTATATCTTTCATTTTTTTTTTTTTTTTTGGGGGGGGGTGTTTAGGATTTTTCCTAATGGCGCTAAGTTATGCAGAGAAGCTAGTGAGCTTTGTTTAACACAAATGCTTTATGCCTAAAAGACACTCTATTCTCAGCTATTGAAACTTCTTTTTCTCTTGTTTCCAACAGATTCACTTCTTTCATCAGAAAATAAATCACATGAAGGACAGAGTTTGTTTTCCAAAACTAATTCAGTGCAAATGCATGGAAACTGATACCAGAACTGTAAAGGCAATGTCATGAATACTTTTGCCACATAATTAGGCATAAAACAGAACCTTGCTTTTCACCTGCTAAAATGTGCTATCATTGGCCTAATTAACCCATGTGTTTTAACATGATATTCAGAAGTTAAGGCATTCTAAATGTTGCATAATTATGCAAGTATTTGATAATAATAAGCACCAGATAGACATTTATGGATGCTCAAACAAAAAGAGGTAAGATCTCTTGTAAACAATAAACAACAATATTCAAAACAGTTTCGCTTGCTAAATGTATTACAAGAGCATATATGTGACCAGAGAACCACGCTGAACAAAATACTCAAAACTTAAGTTCTAAACAATTTTACCCAATTATGTAAGTACTTGATAATATTGAGCACCAGATATACAATTATGGATCTCAAATAAAAAGAGATAAGCTGTATTGAAAACAATAAAAAATACCAGTTAGTTCATTTAGACTATCAGTCTTCTTCTGCAATTCACTTTTCAGTCTCAAGATGTCTTCTTGCGCCAACCGTAGCTCATAATCACTAATAGCTAACTTTTCCTCTGCTGATTCTTTCCCTTCCAGCAAACTTTGAGGATCTGCCACTGCTTTGCACAAACAAATAAAGGAAAACACGATCAGAGCCACAAACCATGCATTTTCATATTTCCGCCAAAGTACGCGATTTACTTCAAATTGAAGCTTCCTCTCAGGTGTCCAGCTCACCAGATATTAGGGGGCAGACACAAGCAATGCCCACATAAGAAAAGGTCTATAAAGACCAATGCAATAGATTTCTTCAAATAGAACCTAAATGCCAGATAACTGTTCTGCTTCTCCATTGTTATAAAAAGAAGCCCCTCTCTCACCCCAAAAAAAAAAAATCTCCCTAAGTACATTCTAAATTGCCGCTCCTTAGAGGTATCTGTTCCATATAAAGTTGTGGCACAATATACCTGGAAGACAGGTACCATTAGGACATTTAATAATTATGGCTTAAAAGTTCAAAATCAATTGCCAGAGTTGTGCTAATCTCAAGTGTATATTAGAGGAATACAAGTTGGCAAAAAAAAAAACATAAAACAAAAACAAAACTATTAGAGGAATAAAAACATGGAAAGCAAAGAATAGTGACAGATTAGAAACCAGTGGAACAGGCCTGGACTCTCCGGAGCAAGGAGGATTTTCTTTTGGTTGTCATCTTCAATTTCCTGAGTTAGTTTTGAAAAGTGGGAGCACAGTCGTAAGCCCATAGCCTAGAACTACATTAAAGATTAGCAAGATCCATCATCCTCATCCTCAAATTGATGGACAAACAGATGTGGCCAACCACATTCAGTGACTTGCAATGTTTTGCTGGAGGCAAACCTAAATAATGCCCCAGATTGTCCTCTTGGGTCAGATATAGGTTGCACACCACGTTAGACAATAATTTGCAATGTTTCATTGGAGGCAGAAGGTATGATCATCTTCCAGGCTTTGTATAGGAGATCCACTTCAAAGGATAACTTGAACGAGTCGCAAGAGAATGAAGATATATGATGGCTCTAAAAGAAGATAACTTGAGTACAACCCTGGGAATGTAATTTACCTTAAATAACAGCCTACAAGTTGAAATCTTTAACCAAGAAAATGAATAAGAATCTTAGTCCCCAATTAAAAAGGCCTTACACAATATTGGAATTTAAAAATGTAGGGAATGTTTTGTACTGCTTAGAACTTCCCTTATCATTAACAGGTTCATGTCCTGTATCTCAGTTGAAGAAGGCTGTGCAACCAGAACCTCTCAACTTCCCTCACCGAAGACAAGAAGTTGAAGGTTTATCCTGGACAAATTAATATTGTTCCATAGGATGCCACGAGGGGAATTCCCAATAAGGAAGGTCTTGGAGAATGAGATGGGGTATTGATGGATCCCAAAATTAAGATATCAATCAAAAAGAAATGTGCAGGATGTTATGAATATTGGATAGCAGCAACAAAGCGGCCTAAATGAATACCTTCCTTAAGCAATCCATCAGACCATTTGGTTACGCTAAGGGCAGATCATTCCCATTTCATTGTACAAGAAGTGAAACATGCAATATCTATTTTGAGGCATAAGAAACATTTTTACCCATAAATTCACTTTTTCTGTTCTGTTTTACTTATTCCATTCCCTTGTGCAAACTAAATAGCCTGCAATAAGTGGTTGAGAGATAGTTCAAGGGAAATTCCATAGGAAGTTTCTAGGAGATTGAGCATATATAGGAGCAAGAGAAAGAGGGAGGCAGACAAGGGAATTGGGTATTCTTGCGGGAGAACCAAGCCCCTCAAAGAGCTAGGAGTTTGCTAGCTTTTCTTTCAAAATAAACCTTCTACTGTAGCTGTCTTCCCACAATTTTTACACGGCAAGCTAGAAGTCTGTCAGGAAAAAAAAAGAGGGCTGAGAAAGAGAAAGCAGAAAAATGGGTATTCTCGTGGGATCTTGAAGAGCTAGAAGTTTTCTTGCTTTCCTTTGTTGCCTTTCTACTGCATTGCTTTTATTGCAATTTTTGAGAGGAAATCCAGGTTCCTCACATAGTATATACAAAAATACTTAACGTACATTTAAACTATAAATCATTGTAACTTCAACTATCCAAAAGTAACAAGCATAAATATTTTGAGTTTTGACAAAAAGCGATCACACAAAACGTATCTGAGCACTTAACACCCTTAAATAATGTATTCTAACTTACAGAACAAAAATTGCACACAACATAGTTCCTAATAGTAAGATCTTTCAACAGACATTATTTCCAAGCAGCGATAGTCTTAGTTCTCATTCAAGAATCAGGAATGAACCTGAAATAAGTGAAACTGCTGTGTTGACAGTATTTTTGAAGCTTAACAAGAAAGGATAAACAAAACGCAGCAGAAACTGCAAATTCCACAGAATAGAAAATTTCAGGGGGAAAGAAAAAGAAACATGGAAGGAAGAAAAACCTCAGAACCAAGAAGGAAAAGGAGAGAGGGGAAAAGAACGAAGTACCCAGAACAATTTGGTAGATGTTTCTATTTAATATTAAAAATTTAGCTATTAAACATCATATTTCCGCTGAAAATGAATAAAGGACAAGGCAACGACTTTGAAAACCGTTCAGCTAATCTATCAAAACCATTTAAAAGAATCTTCCTAACACGTTTTACCAAAAATTACACTCATCAGTGAAAAATATATGATAAATGCTTCAACCAACGGAAGACCTTTTCGACTAAAGAATTCTGTTAGCAGTTTAACTGCACCTAACTCAGATTAACACAATTGGCTACTAAAGAAAAATAACACTCCCTATGGAAACAAATTCTTTAGTATTTTGTTAAACGAGTCCGATGAGTCTGTTCCACAACACCCTTCCGAAGAAACCGAACTTGAAAGTTGACTCAGTCAGCAGAAATAAGGAATATCAGGTATTTTTTTAGAATTGCTGTTAAAAACAAGATGTATGGTGCCCAAGCTTAAAAATTTCAGCGTGCCCGAATTCAAAACAACAAAGAACAAAAATAACGATATGGCTCTGAACCCGTAAATCCAATCAGCACCAAAATTCAAGAACAGGACAATCAATTTGAAAATTGACGCCGATTACGAACCTCGGAGAGAATTGAAGCGAGAAATCTGATCAGGAGGGAACCGGGAGGGATCGGAGAAGTACTCTTTGAGGCGAATAGCCTGATCATAACGGCCATCGTCGAGAAGCTCGTGAAGAAGCTCAAATGCCGTGAGCAAGTAATTCTCCTCCAACAGAAAATTCACAACGCAATTGCACAGCGATGACCTCCCCACATCCATCTCTCTTTCCCCTCTCTTGCAAATCCTCAGATCAAACGCCTTACAGCCTCACCGTAGCTGATATGAGGCCATTCAAGAAAAAGGAGAAGAAACTCTCTCAGATTACAATGACTCATAGAAATGTAACGAAGGAGGTGGCATCTCACTCACATCACATGTGACAAGTGGGGATGTTCGCTTCAGTGTTAGTTTCGAGTGGTAAGCTCAGGATAGAGAGCGATAGACAGGCGACCTGAAAGCAGAAAAAATTGAATTGAGACAAGAAGGAGAAGAAATAATCTCTCAATCTCAAATCTGAAATCTCAGAGAAAGGTCTGACCAGGCAAAAGTGCGAGATCCGATCCGCATTGGTCTCGTCAGCGGGTGAGACTCCTCTGTTCATCATGACACCGCTCTCCGTTGACTTTCCATTTACGTTTCTCAATAGTTTCACATTTTTCTTAAATTTTCTCAGAAATTCTAGTGACTGGCAAGTATCGGATACTCGGAATTGTTTTTCCTATAAAAATAAATCATTTTTTATATTTTTTTTATTATATATTTTCATTTTCTTTTTAAAATATTAAATATATGCAATTATTTCCCAAAAAAAAATCAACTACACATATTTTTACAATTTTGTTTAGATGGATAGAGGTTTATTAAAAGAATATTTTTATGTTTAGAAAGTAAAATAAATGCATTTACAATTTAAAAAATGAACAATATCTTAATAACTTATTTTACCCTTCGTGAATTTGGTTTCTCAAATCCTTAAAGGCTGTTTTAGTTATTGATTTGATTTTTTTAAATTTGCCTCAACTTCCAAGCTAAAGGAACAATAATAAATAAGATACACAACAACAAAAGACTTACTAGAAAAAGAGACATGCTGGTAAAGAAGCAACAGAAAACGATTAGAGACTATAGTAATATCCTAGCTGGATTATTCCACTATGCAATCCTAATAATATTATTTATCCTTCAAATCATAAGGATTACTTATATATGATTATAAAACTTCAGTAACTTGATAAAAGTTAAACTTCAAATATCAAATTAATAATTAAGATAAATTTAAGGATCAAAAATTTCATTATCACTTTAAAAAAAATTTACAATAACTTCTTCCAAAATAATATCTCCAAGGACAAACCCTTAGCACTTAGATAAACAAGTAAGAGTTATTCCTTCTTTATCAAAAGCCTCAAGTTTGAATTATGAAAAATGCACTAGTATAAATGGATAAGGGCACATGCCTTGATCCATATTAATCTAAACACTTATTCACAGTACAAAGTGAAGCAAACCTAAGATACCTAGTGCTCATATAAAAAGAAATATCTGCAAAGGATAACAACCATTGAAATTGTGATGATTGTTCCATACAATTCTTCTATATCCCTTGCTTTTAGATTACCCGCATGATAAAAATTTAAAGCACAAAACCGCATTTAAAGCACAAAACCGCAGGATTGCATCTTTCAAAACAAAAAAGAAATTTTTTTGCATGTTGCATATTGCATATTGCAGATCTATAGTCATACATATTTATTGGAACTTTTTCCATCATTGCGAAGGAAAATGAACAAAAATCCTTTGATACGGACTCATTCATAATTTTCCCAATAAAAATTGCATGTATTGGGGAAAAAAAGTGGTTATTTGATGTCTTCATCTTGAGCAAGCAACTTCATATCTTTCATCACGGATTTGAACTGAGAATTCGTCGACGATGACGGTGGAGGAGGTTGAGACTTGTAAATCAGAACATTATCAAGCTCATCACCGCCATTATCATTGCCATCACCACCACCGCTGCAAGCATTTTGAGACTGAACATACATCGGAGGAACATAAATTTCTCCTTGTTGCTTATCACCATGCAATGTCGTCAATGAACTGGTTGGCCTGCGATAATCCTGAGAAGTGATGAAGGTAGAATTAAGGTTCGCGTCATTGGAAGCTGTTGTATTGAAACAGTAAGGTGGTGGTTGAGCATAAGGAACGAGGTAATATATTGGGTAGGGTTGATTAGGTTGATGATATGTCATATGTTGAAATGGTACAAATTGCCCATGTTGTCTCTGAACCTGTTGATTCAAGTATGGAAATGAAGTGTTGTTCTTGTTGTACCCTGCTTCCATGTTGGTGTTATTTGAACTTTCTATTGAAGAATTAGCATGAACAATGGCATCTTGGTACAACACATTCTGATGCTGAGGTTCTATGTTTGAAAAAGAGTAATTATCACTGAAAAGCAAAATCCAGAACCATTTAGGGGGGGAAAAAAGTGGATCTAAATCATATAATAGCATTAATTGATTCAGCTACTAAGGGACAAGCAATAGTTAACTAATCTAAAAAAGACGAGTGTTGGCACAAAAATGATTTTCTAGCCCACCAACTGTTTGAATGTGCCAAAATCAAATAACATGGATATTATAAATATCTCTATAAGTATTTTTTTTAATTCAAAAACATGACTTGACCCTGATCAGCCTACTCAATTCGTCTTTTCTTTTGTATCGAAAAACAAGTGTGCATTAAAACAGGACAATACACCTTGGGACTCAATGATATCATACATTAGCATTAGTAAATTGGAAGAATTATTTTGAAGTCCCTTAAAGTTTGACAACTTAGTAAAAAAAAAATTGACAATGAAGTTTAAATATACTGTGTGGGACTTGTATAATTCTCTCTAGTTAATTAGGCAAAATCAGAGCAATTAACAGTTACATAAGTGATAAGAGGATGACAATGAAACTGAAAACATAGTATTGGGGACCAAATTAACATCAATTTGCTTCATCAATTATCCGATTCATTTATTTATGGTCTTCAAGATTAATATAGTGAACTAATATTCAGATAAATCCTTGAAACCATCATCCTCTGCTTACAAATTACTCTATTTCTGCATACCAAAACATTAGTGATTTAAGGCGTATAGAATCATTCACTTAGACAACATTTCTAGAAAATGGTAGCGTAAGAAAAGTGCCAAGATTACCTTGGAACAACAGCGTTGGTCTGTATCAACATAGCTTTACTATCCTGCGAAACAAACTCATTATCTACTTCATTACTCTGAGATTTCAAAGGAAGCAAATTAGTCAACGAAGCCGAGGACGAAGTTGACTCAAAAGACGAACTCGTCTCCAAAACCATCGTATCCGGACCCCAAGAGACAAAGCCGTGCCCCTCAACACCCGACCCGTGACAATAGCCATACCCATGAGCCTCACCGAGTCCCTTCTGCAGAATCTTGGCGCTCTTAAGCGCATCGAAGAACCAAGACTCGGTTTTCGGGTGCCGAATGACGGGGCGACCTGAACCCGGAACAGAATAAACAGGGAAGAGGAATACTCTGATGCGGGAAGGTGCAGCAGAAGGAGTGGTGGAACAGAGGCGGTCGAACTCGTCGAAGAAGATTTGGAAATCCTCATCGGAGGTGAGAGAAATGAGAGAGTCGAGGTCAAGATGGGGAAGCTGGTACTTTAAAGTGAAGGAGAAGTCGACGGAGAGGGTGGCGGTGAGGTGAGAAACAAGCAAGTCGAGGGTGGTGACGGTGCGGCGGTCGACGGATACGATGCGGGTGTCGCCGCCGACGTAGCAGAAGGACTTGTTGGGGCCAGGACGAGGGACTATGTGGCCACCGTAACTGCACATAAGACGGAGCTTGGCGCTGCCGCCGCCGGCGAGTGTGGCGGTGGAAGAAGGTGGCCGAAGTTCCATGAATGTTGGGGATCGAGGAAGGTGCAAAATTCGAGGTTGGCTTCACCGAGGAAGGAAAAGCTAGAGTGCGACGGTGAGGAGCACATGATGGGCAACGCAGAAGCAATAGTTAATTAAATGCATGGGCAAGTGCCACGTTATAGGGACTTGATTGGGAAGTGGGAACAAAGTTGACATGGACCACGCTAAAAGAAGTCCTAGCTGTGAGTTATCAAATATTCGTTTATTCTTAATAAGATATTTTTAACCACATTAATTATTTAAAAAAAATAGTTTTTATATCATAAAAAATAAGATATATTTTTATTTTTATCCTTAATTTTAAATTATAATATAATTATATTAAATATTAAAAAAGATAAAATTATAAAAATTATTTATTATTTAAAATATGTCTAATGTTTTGAATTAAAATTACTTTTAGAAGATGTCACATTGAAGGGAGTATGATTTAAATTCTATAAGTTGAGATTTCATAATATATTTTATAAAAAATAATAAAATACATTAAATTATTCACATAAATTTATGACTTTAAGTTTCAAAAAATTTAAATTCTATGAAAAAAGAGTATGTTATGTAAAGACTAAAGCATGAGATTAAAACTTAAGTTAGGAAGTTTAACAAAGTAAACTTTAACTCTCTTGATGCACTTATATTCATCAAAAACAAGTTATCTAAAAATCATCCACTTACAAAAACTATTAATAAAATTAAGAAATTTCATATAAGAGATTGGGAATCACTTTTAAAGACATCTTTAGAGAGGCCAAATAATTATATTAATTGACTAACACTAAATTTTCAACAATACTATATACATACACACACATGGATACATGTAGAAACCTTTTGTTTACCTAAGTTGACCAGTTAGATAAGTGAATTGATAAATTGGTCTTCTAACTAACTCAATTAAAAGTTTTGACCAGATCAATTAAGTTAGATTTATATTTTTCTCCATTTACTGAGCATGACATAACATCGTTTTTGAGTTAAAAAATGAAAGAAAATTTGCAATATATGTAATGTTAATGTTTTAGTAACTCTATTTTGTTAGATTATATGTACTCATGCATAAATTTTTCATTTATTTTTGAATTAATATCTTTTTTTATTTAGACAATACTCTTGTTAGGGTTATCTACAAATATTTTTGTATATTTTAATTCAATTTTATTTATATCATGATTAGGTAAAATTACAATATAAATTTTATGTTTACTTGGCAAAAATGACTAAAAAAATATCTTTAAAATATACAAATGATAATAAAATCATGTGAATATGGTAATTTTTTTTTAAGTCCTTTGAGATCTTTCTAACATTAATATTTTTTTTATAAAATGATTATAAAAACCTCAATTTAAAGTATCAATGGCCATTTTAATTTAGTAATGACTAATTTTTTTTAATAATAGTGACTAAAACATGACAACAAATGATAAGTTTTGCACTGAAGTTCAAGTTTTGTAAATAACAATGACTATTTTTGTTAATAATTAAGTAATAATTACTTTTTTTGACAATTATTAAAATAGAATAAATAATTATAACTTCTCATTTGCAAATTTCTTAACCACTAAAGTCTAATTGTTATAAATATCAGTAATTTTTTTTTTTACAAAAAATACATAGGCAAGCCAAGGCTTGGAAACATAAAATAGAGAATTTCACTCTAATAATCACAACAGTATGAAATTGGCAGCCAATTAAGAGGCACGTTTGGTTTTCAAGGAACCTGTCCATGCATCCAGAAGGAACATTGTGGAGAAGCACAAGCTCAGGGTTGTCTCTATATGCATCCTTGGCCATAAAGTCCGCACACATAGCATATTGCAGCATCCCAATCATCATAAAACAACTCACGAATCTCAAGTATATATCAACGCCCTCATAGGGTGATCCAGTGAAGAGTCACGACTTAACAAATTCAGAGCATCAATAGAATTTGAATGAAGTTTTATCGTGGGCGTTGTTTAGAAACTGAGCAAAAGCTCAAATCCTGTTGAAGGCCCACAATCCACTCACCTGTATGATTCCAGATTACAGTACACCACCACACGCTGCTTAGTGATTGTGTTGTACTAAACCATCAACATTCAACATGAAAGCAGTCAAGAAGGCTGTATCTTGCGGAAAATCTTATGCTGAAGTTCACTGTTGACAGCGAATTAGCATCGGTGAATGATATCTGCATGCAACACTAAAAATAGATCCCTCATAGAAGAACTTGCATAGACCAGAGTAGCTAGCAAATAATTGCGAAAATCCTCGTCCAAGCCCAAGATCTAAATTTAGTTATTTACCCTTAGCGGGCTAGTGAGTAAAATTCCATCACATTTGAGCCACGCTTGTAAATTACCAGACAAGAAACTAGAAAGATCATTAGTTTTTACTTTTTAAAACATAAGACTATACCTCTCTTGCTTTCTCACAATCTCTCAGAATATGTATGATGGATTCCTCACAGTTACACTCAAAAGGGCAAAGACCATTGTTTGACAACCTTCTCTTAAGTCTGAGTGAGCTTATGATTAGTATCTCATGGTGGGACACCTACCAAAAGAAAAGCTTTGACTTTTTCAAGCAACTCCCATTTCTAAAACTTTGTACCAAATCAAGGGACTCTGGCCTATATTTCTAGAATGAGAAAGGAGATCATAAGCAATGTCAATGAATATTTTGATTTAAATAAGGGTTAAAGTCTAACTTTATTCCTATACTTTTTTTTAAGAGTGTTGGACACTGTATATTCTTAAATGGAATAATTTTTTCCTTGAATTAATTTTTGGATGGGTAAAAATGCCCTTCTATCAATTAGCTTTGAAATTTACCATGGTGTGGTGACGTGGCAAGACATGAGGTCCACACAAATTCTGACTTGGTTTTCTTACCATGAAAAACACTTAAGCTTCGACCATGTAGATGTTGCTTCATCCCCTTCACCAACTTCATCTCTCTCTCTCTCCCCCCCTGCCCTACCCGTTTCTCTTCACTCCTCTTCCATCCATGACCTAAATCTCAACAAAATCCCAAATCTCAATCTTCTTCATTGCCTAGTTTCGACCTCAATTTCTATCCACTGTTCAAAACCCAAACTTCATATCCTTCTTTGAGAGGTGGGCATCTTCAAAATCTTGTCATCTAGGTCGTGAATAGGAATAATATCAAGAACGTTGCCACACACAAGAGCAACGCAAACCTAGAAGTAACATCACCAAGTAGTTTCAAGAGCGACGACAAAGATTAGCGACTACAAAAGATTTTCGAGTAGGTTCAAGCTTGCAATGACAACAAAATCAATCTTTTGAGCAGCTACAAGCAGTTTTACTTCAAGTGACAGTGAGGATGAACACAATTCAATTTTGATGCTAGGTGAAAAAGTGCACTTGAGCATCACAGGTGATGTTGTTGATTTTTATCTAGATCTGGTCTAGATTGAGGTGATTGATTTTTTTTTTTTTACTTCCAAACTAAAACTATTCATGTTGACATTTATTTATAACAACACAATGAAGCTTCAATTTCTCTTGTCTCTCAAAAGCCAAGTTATTTCTTTCAGGTACCACCTAAGATCCCAAGATAAGCTTCATTTTGACGATAATGTTAGTCTCTTTGTATCTCTTTTAGTGGGTTCTCTCTCTCTACATAATGTCTCCATGGTCATTGACACTAGGAGCGAGCTCTCAAGGCTCTATTATAACATCACTTTGTCAGCTGCATTCAACCTAACCCATTCTTCTCTATACTCACACTTTTCTTGCTCCTCGCCTACCTATGTGGCTCGGACTCGAGACTTGGCCATCCCTGCTTCCTATGATTCCAACAAACTTTGCCATGCTAATTAAAGATCTAATGTGGATGTTGTTGCAACTAGAGGGAAGAAGAATGAAGAAGACATGAACAATTAGGAGAGCCATGTAATTGGTCAAAAGGAGAGTTAGACTATTACTTGTCAATTTTCTTGGGCCCCACACAATGTCAACTCATCACATAATGGTAGGAGACTAAATGGCTAATTAACAGGAGGTTTTTGCTCCCTTAAAAAATAATTTAAGAAAAATTTATCCAATTTAAAATATATAATGTGTCTAGAGCTTTTTAGAAAAGGCATACAAAGATAAAGTTGAACTTTAACCCTTTAAGTAATAACTATTTTTCTTCTAATAATAAATAAAACGAGATAACAATTGACAAGTTTTACTTTGTAAATTTTTTAGTCACTCATCTATCTTTTGATTTTATATTAAGGGCATTATGATTATTTTATAAAAAATATTATTTCAAAAAAGTCTCAAGGAATTATAAAAAATAATCATATTTCGTAAGATCTAATTATCATTTGCAGATTTTCAAGAAATTTTTTTATCATTAACCTTTTTATTTCTATGATAAAGATAAAAAAAACAGAAAAAGAAGGTTACTGCGTTTAATAAATTACAATTCCTCAGGAATATTAAATTTAATATCTGAATTTAAAAATCACAAATAATTCACATTTAATTGAAAGACAAAGCGAACGTTAGGACACTGTTTACCAAAAAACATGAACGTTAGGAAACCGTTTTAACTTCATTTATGACTGGATTTTACAATGATATCAAATCACACCAAATTAATTGAAGTTTCCTAAATCAGACTCCTACTAAACCCATTTACTTCATCTGTTTCGCAACCTCGCGCCATATCGTGTTTCCTAAGAAACCCAGAGCTCAAACTGTGTTTCCCGAGAAACCCACGCTCAAGGTACTATCTTTTCCTTGTCATCTCCCTCCCTTCACTGCGTTTTTTTTTTTTTTTTTGCTGGGAATTCGGATTATATTCATAGTTTATCTCTGATTTTTCCGACAGTAATTGATCTTCGCACTTGTTTAGGATAATGGGTCGAAGAAACTTAAGCATGAGGACCCTCCAGAATAGGAATGCTCGCAGGGCATTGTTCGAGAGGAGGAAGAAGGGTTTATTGAAGAAAGCTTCTGAGCTCTCCACACTCTGTGGAATCGAGGCCTGTGTGATAATCTTCCCTCCTCCTGATTCTGAAAACCCTAAAGTTGAAACATTTCCTCAAGATCCCGCACAGGTGATTCGAAATATTCAAGAGTATAATGCTAAGAGGAAATGCCCAGAGAAACTGAGGAAGAACTATGATCTCTGTGAGTTCTTCAATGATAGGAAGAATCAGGTTGAAGCTGAGACTTCCAGAATCCGTGAACAGAGATTCAAGATGCTGTATCCAACCTGGGATGACAGCTTCAACAACCTTGGAGAGGGTCAGCTAAGGATGTTTATTACGGCTTTGGATTCTAAGCTTCAAGAGTGTAATCAAACAATTGGGTTGCTGAAATCAAAGAAATCAGATATGACTGTGGTTCCAATTGGTTCCAACTCGTTGAATGATCATTGTTTGGAGATGCCTGTTACTATAATTTCTGCTGATCATCTTTCAGACGAAACCCACCTGGGTTTTATGCAGAATATGAGTGATGAATCCAACGCTGTCTCTGCTCCAACAAAACCACTTGTTGCCGATAATAACACTGACATGTTAGAATCTTACTCTCTTCAAGCTCACACACTTGGCTTTTGTTCAACCTGTGGTCACAGATTCGACAACCCAACAGAGAAGCGGCCGAGGATGTTTACTGGTTCAACCTCGGATTCTGACAATCTTCAAGAGTGTTATTATCAAATGATCGACATGTTTAAAACAAAGTCTTTGAATGATCAGTGTATGGGAACACCTATAGTTCCTCTTCAAGATATTTCAAACCAGTGCCAACCGAGTTTCTTGCAGAATACATTATCAGAAGACAACCTTGTTTGTCCTCGTACGAAGACACTTGTAGATAATACCAGTAATGGCCTGACAGAATCTTACTCTCTTCTGGATCAGATGCTTCATCACGGTTTGGAGAATATTAATTTAGACATGCTTTTGGGTTTAGAATTTGATCCGTTTGATCCCATTCTTGTTTAGATTCAGCAAAACTTTTGAAACAGTTCTGCTGCTAATTAACTGTATTCGGTTGTAGTGAGGTAGAGCTTTAGTAGCTAACTTGACCCAGATCGATGGTTCTGTCCATGGATTATTCGCTGTGTTATCTATAATATTTCTTTTCCTGGTTTTAGGTCTCAACAAGAGTGACACTTTCTCTTGATGCTGTTTCTGTACAAATTTCTAGCATGTTTGACAGAATTAATTGAAAATATCAGCAACTTTAATCTTATGCAGAACTAACTTTCACAATGCCCTATTCATAGTATGGTAAACAGCTTCTTTATGGATTATTGGGCCATGATTTCTTGTTTCTTTGTGCTGCAACAAATCATTCCCGAGCTTAACCGAAAGAAAGAAAGAAAAAATGGAACTTGAAATAATCTTCCTTTCCTGCACAATCACTATCTGTGAATTCAATTTGATTCGCTTCATTTATCTCTGCATATATACCAGATAAATAAGTCCATAGGCCAAAGTGTGGTACGCTACTTATGATAGCTTATAATCTATCTGTGTGTGTGTGTGTGTGTGTGTGTGTGTGTGTGTGTGTGTTATCATTACTCTGGGTTGGTTGAACTAGTTTTGCAAAGTTTTTCTCCAAAGCTGATTGGTGATTTAATTGTTATCAATTCTGACAGAATTCTTTTTGGTGTGTAAAAATTTCCTAATTGCAAGGATAACGCGCAAATCATTAAATAAAAATTTCCTGATACAGTTGAAGTTAAATAAATGAATTGTTTTAAAATAATTATTACTTATTTTCTATGTAATTAATTGCTTAAATTTGCAAGAATAATTAGCTTAAAAAGTTGATTAAAACTGGATAGTAGAGATCTTGGAGATGTATCTTGATTACTGAGTTCTAAAATTGAACAGCTTTATGGGTTAGCAAACCTGTACTTGTTTAATTTTTTAACAAAAGAAAATTTTAAATATCAAAAACTTAGTTAAATGCCTTTTTCTGGGGTAAACCTAATTAAATGCTGTTGAGTTTTGAAGAAAATAAAAACTGGAAAGTAAAGGGGAGGGGAAGACTTTGAACAGTGAGAGTGATGTGGCAGTGTCGCAATTTTTTCCAAAATAAAACAAATACCTATATCATAATACAATAACATGATATAATAAATTCTTGAATTTAGAATTACTTTTTAATTGTTCAAAGGTATTTTTTAATTGGAAGCAATTATATTTAAAATATAGTCAGATATTAAATTTAGACACTTCTCTCTAAAGAATAAATAAGAAAAATATCATTTTTAACATGCAGATTATACAAGATAAAACATTTTTTTTGGTATTTATTTTTCTCTTTAGATAGTTACTTTGGAAAAAATTCAAATTTATTAAGTAATTTGTGCCAGGAAAACTGATAAGTCTGGCTTTTTTTATTTTAAATTATTTTAAAAAATACTATAAAATACTTTAAAATGAACAAATTTAGTCAAATAGTAAGAAGAAATCGAATCTATTGCATATAATCAATACAAGATCTTAGTTGAAGCAGTAATAATATAACCGTTAAGATTCTAAATGCTTGAGATTAAATCAAATCCGATTGCTTGCATTTTACGCATGATCCACAAATTCAACTTGTTTAATCCAGGTTTCGTAGCCAAGAAGAGAACCAAAAAAAAAAAACGAACTAATATAATCATCAACAAAGAAAAATCACTTTAAATAATTAATAATCCTATATCGGTATATACCGTTACCGTGTATGAAAATTCTGCGTTTTAACAACCTTAGCCTCTGATATAATAATCTTTTGTTTTAAAAAAAAAAGATTGTTTGAATTGACTTTTACTTCCCGTTCAGGTCAAAGGAGCTTTTGTTGAATTGTTTCATTCAAAGCAAAATCTGAATAAAACTCTTCATTTATTAACAAATCAACGCAATCACAACTTTTTTTTTTTTTCACTTGCTTTCATATATATAAAGAGCAAGGTCTAGCTTCTTCTGTTATCTATCTCTTAAACATAACATTTCAACTCTCTGCCTTCCAACATGGAACCTATGCAGCCATATTCACTCACAACGAGGTACAGGGGAAGCCAAGCAGACCGGCGACACGATGGTGCCGTTGCCGCCGGCAGAAAGACGAAGAAGAACGTGATATGGTTGGGAGGGAAGCCACGTAGAGTTTGGAGGATGAAAGCAAGACCCAGGTTGGTGGGTTTGATGGTTGGAGCACCATTGAAGGTATTGTCTAAGGTGAAAAATGCTTATGAGGACTTAATGGTAAAGTTGGCTGGAAGTGTAGGGTCCTTAAATAATAAGAATGTTTTCGGAGGAAAGAGGATTCCAAAGGCTCGTCAAGTTACTAAAGGTTATTCTGGAGATGAATTTGAAGCAAGACTCATTCTTGAGATTTCTAAAGTTCTTGTTGCTTCTAATGAATTACATCCCAAGTAATATGGTGTGTATGTATAGCCTTCTAGTTTGTTTATTCGTTTTATTTTCGACAATTTTTTTATAAATAGATATTTTTTAATTTAATTTTTTTATGGTGATGAAATAACATCTCAGGATGTATGGATTTATTTTCTGGTAATTAGTTGAGTGATTAATAATTTGATTACACCATACCGTGTTTTCTTATTGTTTATAATTAGTGTCTTTGCTAACAACTATTAAAGAAGTGGACTTGACTTTCCTCCCCTTACCCTTCTGTTTATATTGTTAGATAGTAGTTTCAATAGCTGGGGTTTTTTTTAAAGAAAAGTTTAAATTAGTTGGATCTCGAAGATATACTAAAATCAAGACATGCCTATCCAGATTTAAAAAACACTTATTGAAATACTTATAGATTGCCCAACAATAAAGTTATATCATTTAAATTAAATACTTATAGATCCTTAGCAATTGGACTAACTTTTGTTAGCTATTAGCTAAAAATTAAATATATTATAAAATTATTTAATATAAAAAAGGAAAAACATAATTTTAAATCCTTGCATTTTGCTCACCTTTTGTTATATATTTTTAAATTTTTTTAATATTTTAGGTTCTACACTTTTGTTTTTCTATGTTCTAGGTCCCTCCAGTGTAGAAACCTAAAACATTGAAAAATAAAAGTGTAAGAACTTAAAATATTAAAAAAAAGTGCAGAGACTTATAATAAAATGCAAGGATCTAAAATTATATTTTTTATAAAAAATTAAAAGGTCATATTATGTGTTTTTTTACGAAAGGAAAATTATTGTTTTGAAAATTTAAAAGAGAAGAATATTGATGAAGAAACATTTCATTAATTAACTACAATGATGATTACAACCAAGGGTGTCTACAGGTTTGGTTTTGAGAAAAAATCAAACTTAACCAAACCTATCGGTTCATATAGATTGAGACCTATTTGGTTTTTTCTCTAATCAGCTTGATTTGATTTTTTTAGTAGTTTGGTTTGCTTAGTTTAGGTCTAAATCAAGTTTGAAGTGTTTTTATAAGATATTCTTCATAATCACCAATACATATTCATGTTCACTGATAATTTTTAACTATTAATTAAATATTTAACTAATAACATTTAGCTTATTGTAAGATAATTTTAGGATAAAAGGATAAAAATATTAAGAAATCATTGCCTAAGAACATCCAGTAATTTAAAAGAGAGAAAAAGTGTATGAGTGGCCGAAATTATTTTTTCAATGAATCTGTGACCAAGCCGTGTATTATACATTATATATTTGCCTGCATAAAAGATTAGGAATTAGGAGGGGGAGAGACGTCATATTACACGTACGTTTGGCTGCATGAAAAAATGGAATTCGGAGATAATAATATATTCACTATAAAAGCTTTTATATTACCACATTAACTGCGTATATATGGTTGCATTATTTTAGGGTAATTAATTAATCAGCTTTAAGATTATATCAAATATCACAATCTTCTCTATATCTAAAGTGTGACTAAAAATATCAATGTTGTCTTTACCAAAAGACTAAAATAGCATCTCTCCCTTTTCCTTCTTCCTCCTCCATCCTTAATCCCAAGCTAGCCACTGCATATACCATGTCCCGTCACTATTTGCTGACCAGCCACTGTCCACGGTCATTGACCGCTGCCGGTAGCCACCATATATCATCCTTTGATGTTGGTGGGTATTTTAGTCTTTACAATCTTATTTTTGTTTGACTTAAAGGTGGAAAAATAAATTGATTTACATCTTCTACAAAATAAGATGAAACGATGATAGTCATTATAAATTTAACTTAATTCAAGAATGTTGAACAGTTTTTTTTTTTTGAAAAAAATTAATGGATGGTTATTTTAAATCTCATAGTTAATATAACTTGAAAAAATATATTTATATTGAATTGGCATTTGTGTTGGTCAACAAAAGAATTGGTATATTTGTTAAGAACAGTACGTTGTTCTGTTAGCCGTGACGGTCTTTTGAAAACATCAAACTTTCTTCCTATTTGACTTGAGGAGCCCCTTGAATATGTCTTGTTGAGGTTCTTAATTATGAAATATGGTGGGCTATATATGGGTAGTTTGATTGAAAAGAAAATTATTTAAATGTAAAATGTGCTGAGGGAGTTTTAATTTGTAAATTAAAAGAATATTTTAATTGAATGTATTCATTAGAGAATATTAGAGTTACGTTGCTTAAAGTTTGAATTATTTTGAAGCCAAAAGAAGTTTGAATTATTCAACAATCATGCTAGAAAATATTTAACTATTATATCTAGGTGGCGTAAATTATTTGTCCCAACATTTATAATTTTAGTATACAAATCTTATACACATGTACCATTTAGGTTATGTGATGACAGAGTAGGATGTAATATAACGAATTGACTAAGTCAGATATATAAAGTTTGAATCATTTAAGTAGTTAGTGTCCAAACTCCAGACATAAACACCAAATGTCAAAGACTAAAATTGTTAAAAAGATCCAATCTAATTAATTTTGATTTACACTCCGTGCAACTTCCTTTTTAATCCCTTCTATTTCACAACTATTATAGTTGAACTTAATAAAAGGACTAGTTTCTAACAATATAATAAATTAATGTTAAATTTTAATTAATGATTTGTCTACTTTTAGTATCCAAACCTACATGGAACATTAAGATTGTTTGATCCATTCCACTCCACAGCCAATATGGTTAATTAGATTTAATGAAATAAGCTAATTCTTTATAATGTGATGAATTAGTGTTCGAATTTTTGCCAGAAGAGGTATGTATCCAAATTAAATATCCAATCATATCTTAAATATGAATAGGAGAATACTATGTACAATTAAAAAAAAAGAAAAACCCATTCTACTCCACAAGAGCCTAGGTCTACTTTGTTATCTCTACTTTGTTAGTGACATTTAAAATTGAAAATAACTTCAATTTTATTACACGGCTCACACATTTTACTACCCAATTAATTATATTTAGCATAATATAAATAATTATATATAATTAATTCCTTTGCTATCAACAAGTCATTCGCTCATCCACTCATTCTAAAACTGAACGTCAGTCTCTCCTCCACAAGCCTCCCTCAATTTCTCCTCTCAACCTATAAATCTCGCCTTCACCATCTCATTTTCCCCTCCCAGTTTCACTTCCTCAGTTCCTCTTTCACACTTCTCATCTCACATCAAAGTCTCATATCGTCTCATCTCGTATCTTGACATATCAGTGCAATATTTCTCTACTCCTTTTTACAGTACTCGATATAACCTTCTTCTTCACTCATTGTTTCATCAGCAATGTCGCCCCTCAAGATCCTTGTTCTTGCTCTCTTCATCATGGCCGTTTCCTGTCAGGACGCAGCCGATCAGGCATCAGCCCTAGAGGCCAACGTCGACGAGGCCGGGTCTTCCATGCAAGTGCAATCTCTTGAAACCACCATTCAATCACCTTCTTCTGCTCCAACCTCCTCTCCGTCTGAGTCTCCGTCAGCCTCTCCTGCCTTTTCCCCTTCAGAAGGACCAGCTTCCGGGGAAGCCGAAGCTCCGGGACTGGACGATTCTGATGCCGCTGCTCCCAGTCCCCTAGAAGACTATGACGACGACGATGACGACGTATACTAATAATACAGACGGTCTCTCCAGTAGAGCTTTAGAGTACATCGGTTATGTTTCGCCCTACGTACGTGCATACCTCCATGGAAGATAAAAGATTCATGAATGAATGTCTGGTAAAACGTTAGGTTTTGATGACGTGGCGGTTAATTGCTTTTGCAAAAATTATCAGAGCGAGATGATCATAAGATAATGGATTGTTTGTCTAGGTTCGTAGGTTTAATTTGTTGATCAGAGTATAATGTAGGGTTAGGGCTTTTTTCAGAAGCCGATTTTGGAGAACTTGCTTCAGGAAACAGAGAAGAGAGACGTACGCATTTAACGTTGTATTGCATACTGCATTAATTTATGAACAATAATAATATGGCATCATGTAACCCAACTTCAGATTTGCTTGCCATTAAGTATGTTCTTCAGATTTGATTAATTTAAACCAAATCTCAGAGACCTTAATAAGCTAATTAAGGGTTGAAATTACGAACTGCGTCATTTCGAGACCTTTGCAATTATTTTGAAGGATCAACGTGAAATGACCAGAATATCCTACATTATTAGGGCAAGTTGAGAGAGGGATTTTTGTTTCTTTATCCACTAATTAAATGCACTTTAACTGAAGTGAAGAGATAAATAAACATACATAATATAGGGAGTGGACTGTGACTTTCTCTCTAAATAAAGTAAACTCTAGGATATATATAATTTTTTGGGACTCGGCTTCTCTCCTTTCAGAAGCCTCCTCTGCCTCTTCTTTGAGGTAGAGACTTAATCTGAACAGTTATATTTAATATTTTTTATTGATAATTTTTAAATAAAAAATGTATAAGTATTGTAAAAAAAATTTAATAAATGCACTTGTTAATCTAACAATCCAAATTTAATATAAATAATTCAAATTTAATATTAAATTTTTTTAATAAATTTACTATTCTGTTAAGAATATATTTACATTGTTCAAAGTATATCTGAAAAGTGAAAAGTCAATTTAAATTTTTTATATTAAATTTAAATTATTTATATTAAATCTGAATTATCAAATTAATAAATATATTTATTAAAAAATTTTATAATTTTTATATATTTTTTTATTTTAAAAATATAACTAAAAAATAGAAATATTAAATCTGAATTGTCCAGATTTAGATTTCCCTCTGCCTCAAAGGAGAGGCAAGGGAGGCCTCTCTCAAAGGAGAGAAGCCGAGTCCAATTTTTTAGGGGGCCAAGCTAGGATACACACATATATAATTTCAATAAATTAAAATAACATAATATAGAAGCGCATGTTTGATTAGTAATGCAGTGTAATGTTGATTATCATCAATATGCATGTTTGGTACATTTCAATCAAGATGAGAAGAAATTATTTTTTTATTTAATCAGAATTATAAGAAGTCCAAAATGGCATTGGAAACTCAAAAAAAGAGAATGACACTAAAGTCCTAAAAGACGAAATATATGATAGTTAGGTCATTGACAAAAAATTTTAGAAAATAAGTTGTGAATATTGATAAAAATGTTTGCAAATAACATGAGAATGCTAATTACAAATTGATAT